GCACATTCGCAGGGCGACTACCCTCTGAGTCCTCCTCAGCAGCGATTTCGTCGCCGCTGATAAGGCCCCACTCCAAATGGGAGCCCCGTATAAGGCCATACTTCGGGTCACCCCGGCGTATAGCCTTCTGCATGTAGGCCTCCCGAGATTGGGCAGCAGCCGACCCAACGCCGATGCGGCGCCCTTTATTCGGGGAGCAAGTTGCCGGAAATGCTCTTCGAAGCTGCATCGCCGGTCCAGGACAAGGCCCAGGCATTTCATTTGGGACCTGACCGGGACCGATAATCCCGCGATGGAGATGTGGGCGCCTGCCGGCACCGCCCAACCTCTGCCCCTCCCGCCGAAGACGGCCACATGCGTCTTCGGCACGGCGACCTCGAACCCCAGCAGTTGTATTCGGCGGACTACCATGTCCGCCGCTACTGACGCTCTTCGGCACCTATTGATACGGAATCGATTTAACCCGCTCAGAAGTAGCATTATGTCCATGTAATAATAACGAAAAACACGATATGCGTTTCACGTAGATCCGAGCCGAAGCGAAATGAGGAACGTCTTTTCGCTCTTATTGCATGAACACAAAACTTTTTTTGACTGGCTCAAAAAGAGTCTGCCCTAATAAGTGTGATGACTCCTTTATAAAAAGTACAAACTTTACGTTGCTCACCTGATAATTTTCTTACCACCAATTAATTAAGATAATTCTTGCGCACTTTTATTTAATTTGTATTATACATAATAAACATTAAACAAATATGAACTTTATCACTAAGAAGAGCTTTTTACGAGGCGTTAGATTAGGTTAGGTTAGCTTACATTTTCGTTTATTATCACAGAGTTTTGGAAACTTTAGTAATACATCAAAGTTGCTTTTGCTTTCACAAAATTGTCGCTATTCAAACATAACGTTCACTTGGAAGTTATAAAATTTACCTGTGAGGTGTACCGTCGTAAAAAATGCGCGTAAATTCTTGCGATGAATAAAAAAAGCCGCATTTTTCTCTAAATAATATATGGAACGAAATGGGTTCTTTTATAACTACGTGTACGTATCTACATGATATTGTGCGTACATTTTGTATTGTTCCTTGTTACGTAATGCTGGAGATTCATGGAGTTTATTGCATTATAAATAAAGTACACTACGGAATACGTGCAGTAGTTTTATTTTTAAATATAATGTAGGAGGTAAACGAGCATAATAATAAATAATTTCTTTGTATGTATATTTGCACGAGCCATTTAAGGATGCATTGTTGAATTCTTAACGCTTCTATGTGGTAATTTTGTAGATAATAGTTATCGATCCGACTCGTGTACGATAGATTAATAGTATTAACCATCCAGTGGTCGCACCCTTGCGCCGAACATAAGCAGTCGCTTTACGCGTTCAGTTTGAGAAGACAAATGAATATTTTCATGACGTTATGTAGCACACAATAAACAAAGTATTTTATCTATATAAATGAAAATAAAAAACATTATTTACTTATTATTTTATTAATTTTGTACTTGTTAGTTGAACAGCCTATAAAAATTCAAAATTTTAGTAATATTATTTATTTATTTATTTATTTATTTAGATACACCATCGGCACAAACATAGAGAAATTTCAATGTTATAACATATAATTTTTTATACAGTATGTTGTACCATTCCAGGCATATACAGCATTTACGAAGAAAAAAAACTTTAATTTAAAAAGCAAATAGAAACAAAAATACTATACAGAAAAAAAAGAACAAATTCTACTATCTAAAAAATTATTAAACAATATAAAACCAAACCCCTGAGACGTGGCGACTTGGGAGTTTAAAGCAGTTGTTACGTTCCGTTTGAACTTGTATAATGAGTCGTGGAAGATGTCAACCACGTCTGTATTTACGTTATTGAAAGTTCTCATGCTACGGTAAAGTGGAGAAAAATGGACTATATTAGTACGAGATACAGGAACTGAAAATATATTTCGCACTGGGTAACGTGGAAGCCTTCTGGGTATCGCGAAGTTAACTTGAGACATTATTTGGGGCGTGTCTACCTGGCTATGTAAAACCTTATAGAGGAAAGTTAGGTCGAAAACTTGTCTTCGAGTCTTTAATGTCTCCAACTTGAAATGTAACAGTCGCTCGCCGTAGTCTGCTCTATACGGGCATTGTTTATTTTCATATGCTAGAAAGCGAGTGAATGCACGTGGTACGCGTTCTATCCTATCTACATGGATTTGATAGTGCGGATTCTATATTGGTGTCGCATATTCAAGAGTGCTCCGAATTAACGAGTTGTACAATGTTAAAATTGCGTGTACGTTTCTAAAATTTTTACAAGTACGCTTCACAAACCCTAGCATTTTCCACGATTTCTTGACTATACTATTTATGTGGGCACCAAAACTTAATTTGTTGTCTATCAGAACACCCAAATCTCGCACTTCAGTCGATTCGCTGAGTGCTTGATTATCCAGATAATATTGAGAGGAAACAGTATTGATTTTTTTTGTAAAGTTAATATGAGTACATTTGGTTACATTTAATAACATTTTATTGTGCTTGCACCATCGCGCCACAGCCGTCAAATATGACACAAACAACGTTAAAAATCAACAAAATAACAAAACAAGATGAAATTTTCTATCTTAATCGTTCATAAGCACATTCATGCATCATCAATGCATCATCAAAATCTTCATCTTCTGTTTCCGCTTCATCTGCAAGCCGTTCTGATTCTTCGTAACTCATGTTGTGTCTACAACAAATAGTGTAAACAAATATATAAAAAATAATAAATAATTTAATATGTATTACACAAAATAATGTAATTTTGTAAGTAATATAGTACAAATATATAATAACATGAAATACTCACCCAGGTTTCAATTTCATTCTATGAATTTTTCCGGAACCCGACCGGTCGCGCGTGGAATCTGAGACCGCAAACACAAATAAAGGCACATGTGCGCTTGCGACGAATGTCACAGGGCTACTAAGGGGAAGTACCTCGCCGCCGCGCCCCCTCGAGGATATCACGGTCGCGCAACCGTTTATTGTTTATAGCTATTGTAAAATGACTAAAATAAGGTCGCTGGAAGGTTAATTAGTACATTGCGTGTTACGGGCGGTAATTAAGAAATTACCAATGAGTCTATTGGAAAGCCGAAGCCGAAGGAGCCTGAGGGCTTTAATGACTCCGGGTTGGTAACTTTTTTACCGCCGTTTTTAAACAAATTTTTTTTTTAATAAATATCGCTTCACAACATTTATCCGCTCACGCGATGCGCTACCCCACCTACACGGCCCTTAAAGGATAGGATAAACCTACCGCAAAATGGCGGCTATCTAGTTTCGGAAATTAGAAAAGCATTCACTTTAAATATAAGTTTTTATAAATAAAAATTATTATTCTGCATTGCTAAATAAATACCCTCCGTACTACCATCAAAAACGTCTCAAATAAAATGCAGTAATATACCGCAAATCCTGCACTTAAAAAGCACTAATTAAATTTTTGGTGTACTTGGATAAATATGATAATATTCCATTTGAGTGGTTCTAACGTTTACTATGAAATTACTCCTTATAGTTTATAAACATTTATATTGAGGGTAAACTTAAAAAACGCTACTTACAGTATGTTTTCAATAAATAAACACCGAAATCACCAGCCCAAACAATAAGACACACGATTGTCGTGACGTATTTTTGAAGTTGTTTATTTTTTTAAATGACAGACCCAGGCATTAAAAACTTTATGGTTTGCTAGAGTAGTTACCGAAATAGCAATTAATATTAGTTCTTTTACCTGTTATAACTTCGACATCCGATAAATCGGTATAAAATCATCACCGGCACCTCTAGGTGTGGTATGCGTCTACGGCTGCATGTATCGCGTGAGCGGTTATGACACTACTCAAATGCTCTACTGCCTCGTGATTGATTAAATTGCCTTTAAACCTTTATAACTAAATGATTGGTTAAAATATAAGCGGTACTTGGCAACTTATGTTCTACGGAAATCGAGGAAAATCCTCAAAGTTTATAGGCATGTCAGTGTTCTCATCGATTTCTCCGTCAATTATGAACCGATTTTGAAAATTATTATTTTTATTTGAAAGAGTGTACTCTCGAGGTGGCTCCTTGTGCTTTTTCGGATTCGTTTCGGCTATCACTAATTTAAAAAATATTTTCCGCAAATAAAACGCACTAGGAAAACCCTGTGACGCGAGTGCCAAGGACTTAGAACACCACAAATTATATCCAAACTCACAACAGAAATAAATGTAGGCCATACAAATATATCTCCCTACCCGGTAATCGAACCTGGGACCTCTACGTGGCAGTCCAGTGTGGTAGCCGTTCGGCCATGGAGGCAGTTTTGAGTTTTTTGTTTACGATATGATAACGGAGGAATCCACTTTAGCATGTTGATAGAGTATAGTTGATGAAGAGATGGATAATAAAGTTTTCAAATTAAAGCAAGTTTAAAATTTAATACAAATTGAAAGTCACCCAAAACAAGAGTTATTATTAAATTTACAGTTCGCGATTTTTAGTTTAATAACGCTCCAGGAGAATGTTTCAGATTAATTGTTGTCTGTTATCTTATGAGCTTTGGTTATTGTTTTCAAATTTAACTAAATTAGAAATTGTTGTTTGTTTGTTTATACAGGATTAACTGTTGTTGGAATGTATTCATGTAGATGTCGAGCGTACGCGAAGTATGGTCGGCTAAATTTTCAAAGTCAAGCTCTCTACAGAGATGACAATATAATATCAAGTCTAACCATTATGTTCTTTACATTGTGATAATATCATTGGTGTTTGGAGTCTTGCGCGCGCGCTCACCTGTGAAGTCTTGCGCGCGCGCTCACCTGTGACGCACGCGATTATAGTGACGTGCACCGTGTACTTTTTTGTTGAAAATGTCAACGAATACGCTAAAGTGCTCTGCGTGTAATATCGTTATAAACGAACTCTTATCTTATGTGCAAAATAAGATTTCCATTATGGACGAGGATACGTTGTTACGTTTATGTTCAACGGCATTTACGAGTGAGGAGATAAAACGTTCGAAATCCTTACTTCTCGAGGCCCTTCCTAAGGATTACAAGATTACACAGCGTAAAGGAGAGGGCAAGGAGCTTCGTGACCTCAGTGACATTGTACAAGTTTTAAAAACAACTGATCCCGATGCTGTTCCCGTGTTTGTAGCGAGGCAACTCGACAAGTTACCTGCTATAACTTTCGACCATTTGGATTGCACTCGATTGTTGAGGGACATTGTGAAACTTCAAGATGATGTGAATGTTTTGAAGTTAACTTCTGCTACATCACAACAGTTAGACGAACTAAAAGTACAATTAACAAAGACCGCTATACCTTCACGATTATCGGTCTGTAACGTAAACACGAATCGAGGTGGATGGTGCCTGGACAGCGGACCTATAGGCATATCAGACTTGCATAATTCTACATTGAATGATACGGATAACGCATTTTCTAATAGCAAAAGTATGAGACCCGAATATAGATCAATATTGTTGAAAAATAATAATCATTCTACAATCTCAAAAGTGAAGGTGCCGCAAAATAAAACGTCTCATAAAAATAACGACTTTCTGACTCAGCCACAGAGTGCATCGCCGCTGCCTACTGTGACGTCACGCGTGACAGTTGACTCGTCGCCGTCCGCGCCGTTGCGTGAGGATACATCAGCTGACAAAACCGGTTCTAATACTATGATGTACGGGCCTATTGATAACAATGAGAGCGAGTGGCAGTTAGTTCGGCGACGTAATAGAAAAACAAACCATTTACGAAAAGGACAAATGGGCATAGCTGCGTGTGATTCTGCTGTAAAATTTAAAGCTGCAGAGCGGAAAATTCCTATTTTCATAACGAATGTACACAATGACACAAATGAAGCGGATATAATAAGCTATATTCGCACGAAAACACGAGAAGTTGTGTCACTGGAAAAAGTTAATATTAAGAGGCAATCGCAGTATAAGGCGTACAAGTTTTTCGTGAATCAAAATAGTGTAGAGCTGTTCTTGGATAAAAACTTATGGCCTCAAGGAATTATTTTCAGAAAGTTTGTCAACTTCAAATATAAAACTACGCACAGAGTAAATCCTGTGGATGGCACTAGTAACGTGAAATAATGAATCATAGGTCTTCCTACACATTTGTGAGTTTCAACTGCAAAAGTGTGAAACGTTCCATTGACAGCATCAGAGAATTGTGTCATTCCTCTGATATAATCGCTTTGCAAGAAACGTGGCTAAGACAGGACGAGCTGACGTTTTTAAGTACGATTGACAGCGGGTTTGAATACACGGGTACCTCTGCAATGGATATGACAGTGGGCATGCTGAGGGGTAGACCTTATGGAGGGGTTGCTCTGCTATGGAGGAGTGCAGTGTTTCAACAAGTATCATTAATACCATGTGATAATCCTCGGTTATGTGCGGTTAACATAACGACAAGTGACGGTTCGATTGCGGTAGTGTGTGTGTACATGCCGTGCGATAATAAGGACAACCTGCCGGAATTTACAGATTGCCTGAGTGCGGTGAGTGCCTTAATAGACGAATGTAATGTGCAACAAACGTACATATTAGGCGATTTCAATGCGCATCCTAATGAATTGTTCTATAATGAGCTAATGTATTTTTGTAGTATAGCTGAATGGTGTTGTATAGATACACGAGCTAATGAATTGGGAAGTTCAGCAGATACGTACACGTACATGTGCCCAGTCACGGGGTCAAGGCGGTGGTTAGATCATTGTGTCACGTCACAGTCAGCAGTTAGATCAATTCTAACTGTAACTGTTAAGAATGAGGTATCGTGGTCGGATCACTACCCTCTAATAATTAAGTGTAGGCTAAATCTATTGCCTCCTCGAACTTACGTTAAGACTTCTGTGCCAAACTCGAATGTAATATGGGGTGAGAGAACTATGGAACAGATTACACTTTATAACAGGGAATGTCATGAAAGATTACGGCTCATAGACTTTCCAATAGAGTTTACACATTGTTCGGACAAAAATTGTAATGATGTCAGACATAGGAAAGTGATAGATATTTTGTATAATAATATTGTTTCAGCCCTATGCGAAGCTGCGTCTGTAAATCGCGTTGTGAAACGAAAATCTTACAAAAAGCAAATAACAGGATGGAATACACACGTCAGAGATGTTCACATCGTGGCTACACAGAAATATCAGGCTTGGACCGCAGCTGGCGGACCTAGACACGGATACCTATATGACGAGATGTGTGAAAGCCGGAAAATTTTTAAATCCCGTCTTAAGTGGTGCCAAGATCACCAACAACAATTACAAATGGATTTGATGGCTTTAGAGCATTCCAAAAAGGATTTTAGTGCTTTTTGGAAAAGAACTAATAAGATGAGTGCTCGGCCTGGTCACTCAGTGAGCGTTAATGGCGTGTGTGATCCTAATAATATAGCTAATATCTTTCGTGACCATTTCTTTGTTAGATCTCCTCTTGGGCCAGCGGCTTGCGATGTGGGTGATGCTGAGACCTTCACTGACATGCCAGAGATTCGAATAACTGCCAAAGACGTAGCTCAGGCCATTAAGTCCATCTCTAAAGGCAAGTCTCCGGGCCATGACGGTCTCAGCATCGAGCACTTGCATCACGCGGGTCCACATATATGTAGAACACTCAAAATGTTGTTTACTTTTTGTGTAAGGCACGCGTACCTGCCCGAAAGTCTGATGAAAACTGTTATTGTTCCGGTAATTAAAAATAAGAATGGAGATCTATCTGACAAAAGTAATTACAGGCCAATATCGCTGGCAACTGTAATTGCTAAAGTGTTTGACAGTGTGCTTAATGCACGGTTAAATACATACCTTCGATTGCACGACAATCAGTTTGGATTTCGTTCTGGTCTATCAACGGAGAGCGCAATACTTAGCATGAAGCACACTGTCAAATATTATCTGGATAGAAATACTCCTGTTATCAGCTGTTTCCTGGACCTGTCTAGGGCATTTGACCTGGTTTCCTATAACATCTTATGGAAAAAGCTAAAAGACATTAATCTGCCCTCTGATCTTATCAAGATCTTTAAATATTGGTATGGAAATCAGGTCAACTGTGTTAGATGGGCGGGATCTCTATCAGACTCGTATAAATTAGAGTGTGGTGTCAGGCAGGGAGGACTGAGTTCCCCTAGCCTGTTTAACATATACGTTAACGGGTTGATCGAGGAACTCAGCAGCATGCGTGTCGGATGCCATATAGATGGAATTAATCGCAATAATCTTAGCTATGCAGATGACATGGTGCTGCTGAGTGCGTCGATCTGTGGCATGCGAAAATTATTGAAAGTATGCGAAATGTACGCGATGAATCATGGCTTACAGTATAATGTACTTAAAAGTCAATATATGGTGTTTGGGAGCGGGCGTGGGTATAAGTATGAATTACCTAAACTTACGCTTGACGGTGAAGACCTACAGAAGGTAAATAAATTTAAATATTTGGGGCATATACTCACGCCTGATCTCAAAGACAGTAATGACATGGAAAGAGAACGCAGGGCTCTGTCGGTAAGGGCAAACATGATTGCACGCAGATTCGCAAAGTGTTCGGGTGAGGTAAAGGTGACGCTCTTCAAAGCGTACTGTACCTCCCTATACACGTGCAGTTTGTGGCGAGACTACACGAAAGGGGCTTACAAAGCCTTGCGGACTCAGTATAATAACGCCTTCCGGGTGTTGATGGGGCTGCCCCGTTTTTGTAGCGCATCAGGGATGTTCGCTGACGCGCGCGTTGACGCGTTTGACGCCATTGTGCGCAAGAGGTGCGCGTCCCTGGTGCGCCGGGTGCGGGCCAGCCCCAACTCCGCTCTCAATGCGATAGGGGACAGGGTTGACTGCCCCTACATTAGACACTGTTGTGGGCTTCATGCACCAAAATGTATAATTAAGTTTTAAATGTTTCAATATTAACCCTAGGATAAGTTCTGTATTTACTAACATTATGAGTCTGGTTACTCGAATAAAAATATTTGAATTGAATTGAATTTGCGGAAAGGGCGACATTTCGAAAAAAAATTCATATAATTGTATTATTTTTTTATTATATTTATTTATTATTGTATTAGTTTTTCACGACTATTTTTAAATATTTACGTAGTTTTTTAAATTCAATTTTAAAATATAAACTTAATTAAAACCAAAATTGAAGGACAGTTTTTAATATTGTATACACGATGGCTTTAAATTTCAAAGTATAATAATAATGTATCAGACAACTACACCAATAAACTGATCTCAAATTGAAGAATTCGTTGTACTATGTGTACTGGAGCAATTTAATTTACTCCGGGATAGTACTCAGAATACTAAAGCCAGAACCAATTTTATTTCATTTACTAAATCAGTCCTGCCGGAGAGACCCCCGGCAGGCCATTCAGCGCCCATAATGCAAGCCGTTGAGTGTTCGAGATGGTCAAATATTATGCTGAGCGCGACATTTTGTTTCTGATACGAAGTGACGGAACAAACAAACAATATTCAGCAAAGCAATATATTTCGGCCATCATTACGTATACTTAAGTATTTTGTATACATCAAGTATTTTATTTTTTCTTCACAATTTTAAAAACGTACCTTTCGTATGAAGTTTTTATTTTTCCATCCTCTATGAATATTTATTACAGATATTTTTTATCCTTTTTTTTTATAATAAATTTTCACCCTTTTACCTGAATAGGCAAATATTCCGCCATACAGCCTCTTTATATAATTATTTAATATCTTTCGTAGTTTTGATGGAAAAGGCGACAGGCACCTGTTTTTTAACCGACATCAAAAAGGAGGTGTTCTCAATTTGCCTAAGTTTTTTCTTTTTTTTGTATGTATGTTACTAGATAACTTCGGCCAATTTATGAACCGATTTTGATGATTCCTTTTATGTAAGGTTTTCCGACAGGCAGGTACCTCGGTAGTGGTTCCATTCCAAGAAAATATTCCACCTGGCAAATAGACGTAATTCTACGAACTTTTGAGGTCGGTTTTTTAGTACTTGTTGTATTGAGATTATATAATTATAGTATATATATGTCATAAAGAGTAGATGTTATGTAATATAATTGTATATGACAGGAGGGTAAGCGTCTATATTTTTAAGTAGGTCTTCTGTTGAGCGCGGGATATCTTCAGTAAATGACATATTTTGAATATTTTTAAAGACAACTGTGAAAAATAACCAGTTTATTGTTCTTTCTCAAATTATGCTCATCACTATTATATACCTACATACGTACATAGTATGCTCACGCCTTCGGATTTTAAAAGTGGTAGGTGGAGAAGTAGACGTAAATGGAGTATGGAGTGACTTCCTTGGGTTCTCCGGTAAAAATGGGTGTTCCGCAGGGCGCAATACTTGGACCGTTCTTATTTCTCATTTATATGAATGATCAACCTTTTTTTTAAGGACCTTTGCGAAATAGTATTATTTGCTGACGACACATCCTTGATTTTTAAAACGACATATATGACATTAACTATGATAATATTAACGATACCCTTTCAAAGGTAGTTTATTGGTTTAATGTCATTATTGATCAATGCCAAAAAGACAAAGTATGTTAAATTTAAATCACCCAATGTAAAATCGACTAGTCCAGTCATAGAAATAAATGGAGAAAAGTTAGACCTTGTTAATAAAGCTGTCTTTTTGGGAGTGACATTAGATAGTAAATTTTCAATGGTTTCCACATATCGCACTGCTATTGTGTTTGACTGCCTCTGTGGCCGAACGGGTACCTTACAGACTGCCACGCAGAGGTCCCAGGTTCAATTCCCGGGCCGGGAGAAATATTTGTATGGCCTACATTTATTTATCTCGTGAGTTTGGGTGTAATTTGTGGTTGTCTATGTGTGTGTAGCACCCGCGACACAGGGTTTCCCTAGTGCGGGGCTATGTTGAGTGTGTGCGTTATTACTATTATGATTATTACAATAGTGTTGTAACTCAAAATAAGTGAAATTAAAAGATTATACAGTTAATGAATGTAAAATTTGAATCTCTATACGTCAATATAACCGTCTTTAAAATATTACGAAAAACAAATGAAAGATGTCTGTTTAAATCAAAATGAGAAACTTTTTGTGGCT